TGCGAGACTTCCTCCAATTTTCACACTTTGCAGCTTCAAAATCAACGTTTTCCTACGAGTTTTCCTTAGAACCTGAAAATTTGCAACCTCAAAATCGATGTTTCGTGCGAGGCTTCCGTCAATTTTCAGCGCATCGCACAAAATGCCACGCCTGCCACGGAATTTGCACCTTGTCGCCACTTGACGCAGCCCTGCCAATGCGATTTACAAAAAACACGCAACAGGACACGTCTAAAGTGCTGCGCCTGCCACGAAAAATGACGATGGACACGTCCAAAGTGCTGCGCCTGCCACGAAAACTGCAACACATCTGCTGAAAACGTCACAAAAGTATTGCGCCTGCCACGCGAAACGATTTTCAACACGTTGCAAAACACGTCTGAATGTCACGAAGTGCCACGCCTGCCACGCGAAACGAAGCAACGACACGTCTGAAACCTCCAAAAATGACCACCTCTGCAAAACTTCCCATAGGCACGGCCATACGGACCTCGTACGAACGGTTGCGGACGGTTGCGGACGGTTGCGAACGGTTGCGGACGCGGACGCAACGTCGAGCGAACACACTCTCAACCCCCAGACCCCCAGAGTGAAACGGGAACCCTTGCCATGCATTCGGGAAAAAACAAAAACATTTTCAAGGGGGAAACATTCTAACTGCTGAGATGCTGGTAAAAAGTAATTTCAACGGGGAAGCGTTCTAACTGCTGAAAAGCTGGTAAAAAACAATTTCAAGGGGGAAGCATTCTAACTGATGAAATGCTGGTAAAAAACAATTTCAAGGGGGGAAGCATTCTAACTGCTGAAATGCTGGTAAAAAGTAATTTCAACGGGGAAGCATTCTAACTGCTGAAAAGCTGGTAAAAAACAATTTCAAGGGGGGAAACATTCTAACTGCTGAAATGCTGGTAAAAAACAATTTCAAGAAACACATTCTAATTGCTGAAATGCGTGTGTAAAAAGCAACTTCAAGTGGGAAGCATTTTAACTGCTGAAATGCTGGGAAGCATTCTAACTGCTGAAATGCTGGCAAAAGCAATTTCAAGGGGGAAACATTATAACTGCTGAAATGCTTGTAAAAAACAATTTCAAGGGGAACGCATTCTAACTATACCCAAGGACTGGAAGTTAGAATGCCGCTTTGGTGGAAAGATGTGGATTTCAAGAAAAGACCCGCGTACCGCGTGAAAAATCCGGGAGGCATTCTAACCTTATTTATTTAGTCCTGAAGGCATTCTAACCCTATTTATTCAGTCCTGAAACCCCTAAAACTCCAAAATTCTTAACGCATTCTCGACCGTCCCGTGTCTTCCATGTATATGGCACTGCAAATATGCAGAATATGCATGTAAATTGCAAAAGAACCCAAAACATAATGAAAAATTATGAAGAACGCCTTTAAAACACTGAAAAATCAATGAAACACATGCAACAACATTGAAGAATCAATGAAAAATAATGAAACACATCTTAAAAATAATGAAACATCCATGAAAATAATGAGCAACGTCTTGAAAATAATGAAAAATCAATGAACAATAATGAAAAATCAATGAACAATAATTGACAATAATCAAAAACTTCTTAAAATCATGAAACCCATGGAAAAATTAATGAAAACCATCTTCAAAATAATGAAAACCATCTTCAAAATAATGAAAATCACTGAAAAATAATGAACACATCTTCAAAATACTGAAAAATCACTGAAGGCCGTCCCGGATTTTTTAAATGCGTTTGAGGATTAAATAAGGTTAGAATGCCTCCCGGAATTCTCACGCAGTACGCCGGTTTTTTCTTGAAATCCATGTCTTTCCACCAAGGTTGCATTATAACTTCCAGTCCTGCGGTATACATGCATGCATCTATGTAAACAGTATCTATGTATCTATGTTCTACCATATAATTAAAAAAACAATGAAAAATAATATAAAAAACGTGGTCAAAATAATGAAAGCCCATGAAAAATAATGGATCTCAACCGTCATTGGGGACCAAAATTTCATTTATATATTTAAAATCTATATATATATATAGAATTCAGTATGCTGCGGAGGGATTCTAACCCTACAAAAAACAAGGTTTGGTGGCCCCCGCAAACCAAGCTTTTGGTCGGTTTTGGACTACGGTTTTTACGGGTTTTTATGGGTTTGGATGAGTTTTTACAGGTTTTCGGCGGTTTTTTTTGCGGATTGTGGCGAAGCTGCTTCATCAAAGGTTTTGTTGACTAAAACCATTTTTTTTAGCAGAAACCAACTCAAAACAAGGTTTTGATAGCTCGACCCGGGTTTTTCAGGGATTTGGTTGATGTATGTAGGGTGTATGATGATGATATCAAACTGTGGTAAGTACTTATCTCAACCGTCATAGTCATTGCGGACCAAGATTTCATTTATATATTTAAAATCTATATAGAATTCAGAAGTTTTGGGGGCATATGCTGCGGAGGCATTCTAGCCCTACAAAAAACAAGGTTTGGTGGCCCCGGCAAACCAAGCTTTTGGTCGGTTTTGGACTACGGTTTTTACGGGTTTTTATGGGTTTGGATGAGTTTTTACAGGTTTGCGACGATTTTTTTTGCGGATTGTGGCGAAGCTGCTTCATCAAAGGTTTTGTTGACTAAAATTTGTTTTTTTAGCCGAAACCAACTCAAAACAAGGTTTTGATAGCTCGACCCGGGTTTTTCAGGGATTTGGTTGATGTAGGGTGTATGATGATGATATCAAACTGTGGTAAGTACTTATCTCAACCGTCATTGCGGACCAAGATTTCATTTATATATTTAAAATCTATATAGAATTCAGAAGTTTTGGGGGCATATGCTGCGGAGGCATTCTAACCCTACAAAAAACAAAGTTTGGTGGCCCCGGCAAACCAAGCTTTTGGTCGGTTTTGGACTATTGTTTTTTACGGGTTTTTATGGGTTTGGATGAGTTTTTACAGGTTTGCGACGATTTTTTTTGCGGATTGTGGCGAAGCTGCTTCATCAAAAACCTAGTTTTGTTGACTAAAACCTATTTTTTCTCGCAGAAAACAACTCAAAACAAGGTTTTGATAGCTCGACCTGTTTTTTTTCAGGGATTTGGTTGATGTATGTAGGGTGTATGATGATGATATCAAGCTGTGGTAAGTATTTATCTCAACCGTCATTGCGGACCAAGATTTATATATTTAGAATCTATATATATATAGAATTCAAAAGTTTTGGGGGCATATGTTGCAAAGGCATTCTAACCCTACAAAAAACAAGGTTTGGTGGCCCCGGCAAACCAAACTTTTGGTCGGTTTTGGACTACGGTTTTTACGGGTTTTTATGGGTTTTGATGAGTTTTTACAGGTTTGCGACGTTTTTTTTCGCGGATTGTGGCGAAGCTGCTTCATCAAAAACCAGGTTTTGTTGACTAAAGAAACCTGTTGTTCTCGCAGAAACTATATAGCTCAAAACCAGGTTTTGATATCTCGACCCGTTTTTTTCAGGGATTTGGTTGATGTAGGATATAAATATAATATTTATATATATATATAGATATTTAACATCTATATAGAATTCAGATGTTTCGGGGGCATTTGCTGCGGAGGCATTCTAACCCTACAAAAAAGAAAGGTTTGGTGGCCCCGGCACAACAGGTAGGCACATTTGATCAAACAATGTTTGAACATGTTTATCCACATTTACCAGCATAATACGTACTGAAAGGTAGAATTTTGAAGGGGAAGCATTCTAACTGCTGAAAGGCTGGTAAAAAGCAATTTCAAGGGGGAAGCATTCTAACTGATGAAATGCTGGTAAAAAACAATTTCAAGGGGGGAAACATTCTAACTGCTGAAATAATGGTAAAAAACAATTTCAAGAAAAGCATTCTAATTGCTGAAATGCTGGTAAAAAACAATTTCAAGGGGGAAGCATTCTAACTGATGAAATGTTTGTGTAAAAAGCAACTTCAAGGGGGAAGCATTCTAACTGCTGAAATGCTGGGAAGCATTCTAGCCGCGGAAATGCTGGCAAAAGCAATTTCAAGGGCGAAGCGTTCTAATTGCTGAAATGCTGGTAGAAAGCAATTTCAAGGGGGAAGCGTTCTAATTGCTGAAATGCTTGTGTAAAAGCAATTTCAATGGGGAAGCATTCTAACTGCTGAAAAGCTGGTAAAAAGCAATTTCAACGGGGAAGCATTCTAACTGCTCAAAAACTGGTACAAAAATAATTTCAAGGGGGAAGCATTCTAACTGATGAAATGCTGGTAAAAAACTATTCAAGGGGGACGCATTCTAACTGCTGAAATGCTGGCAAAAGCAATTTCAACGGGGAAGCGTTCTAAGTGATGAACTGCTGGCAAAAAGCAATTTCAAGGGGGAAGCATTCTAACTGCTGAAATGCTGGCAAAAGCAATTTCAACGGGAAAGCGTTCTAAGTGATGAACTGCTGGTAAAAAGCAATTTCAAGGGGGACGCATTCTAACTGCTGAAATGCTGGCAAAAGCAATTTCAACGGGGAAGCGTTCTTAGTGATGAACTGCTGGTAAAAAGCAATTTCAAGGGGGAAGCATTTTAACTGCTGAAATGCTTGTGTAAAAGCAACTTCAAGGGGGAAGCGTTCTACCTGATGAAATGCTGGTAAAAAGCCATTTCAAGGGGGAAACATTCTAACTGCTGAAATGCTGGCAAAGCAATTTCAAGTGGGAAGCGTTCTAATTGCTGAAATGCTGGTAAAAAACAATTTCAAGGGGGAAGCATTCTAACTGCATTCTAACATCTGATGATATTCATAGTGTGTAGGCATTCTAAGTGAGGGATTTGTGCAAAGAGTTTTCCGAAAACAACAAAAAACTTAAAACCCGGGTGCGGAGGCATTCTAACTGAATGATTTTTTGCCGTGCGCGTGCCGCATTCTAACTGAGGGGGAGGAATATTTGGAATTCGCGGAGGCATTCTAACTTTCATTTTAACGGTATAAACATCTTGTGTTGCCATTTCCAACCGTTCTCTATATTTACACCCCACACCTGGAAGCCATGAAGGAAGTTAAGGGCAACTCCACGCAGCACTCTGAACGCAGGGCGGACAACGCCTTGGACCTGCGATCCATGGACGAATCTTGTTCAAAACACATGTTTTTCTTTTAAACCCGGTATTTTTAAAACCCAGTGGGAAGAGGTTGAAATATTGAACTCCCCTTCGCCAACTTTTACCTGGAATCTTGCGTCCCCCATTGTCCTATGGGTCAGGTTGTGATTAGATTTCAAAGTGCAAGTTTTGGCTCCCCAACGCCCCTTAATTTTCTCCATTCAGGCACTTTTCCTACTACCCTCCAGCAGTTGAACATGGCCATGGCAAAGCCATTTATAAATGACTTTACCTACAAAGAAAAGTGATTCTCCATAGCAAACTGTTAAATGACCAGAGGATACCTGCCCTCGTTGAGCCCCCACTTGGTGCTCCCCACATCTGCGTCACTTGTAGCAGCGAGTTGGTGCTATGCAACAAGTCGGTGGCCGTTGGAGAGATCGTGGCTAAGATGAGGGTCCTGGAGCATGGTGAAAGTGATTCAAATCATCCTATGGGGAGCCCAACTGGGGACGAATCCTGGGTTGAAAGCGATCATGGGTTTTTCTTGACAATGACACACCAGGACATACGAAACATTTAAGGAAGGTTAGAGATTGGTGATAAAACAGCAACAATATCAACAATCATCGGGATCACACTGTGCGAATTACATTGATATCATGCACAAGTCAAGCCCCTACTGGGACGGTATGCTGCCCACTGTCCGGTGCTCTGGCGTGAAGCAAGACCGCAACACCTGTGGCTGGGCACCGAGATTGGGCTCAAATGGTATATCAGCACTACCAACACATGGGCTCAAGGTCAAAATCACGAAAGCCCCAGAACTCATCCACATTGATCCTTGCCCAAGCACCTGAGTCAGGCTGCTGGAGCGATACGGCACCCGGGTGGACTTTTGTCGGAGCAGCTGAGCATGGGCACGGAAGCAATCCTGCCAGGGTCGTGATCCCTGCCTCCCCCACGATCAAACATGGCAATGGAAAAGCTCGTTCATAAATCCCTCCTCTGAGTCTTCATGATCTTAATGGGAAAATAATCAAACAAAATAATATTGTTCAGTTGCCATCATGTTTGATGAGTCGTTCCACCTGCACCTTCAATTTCAAGTTCGCTGCCAGCTTGCTGACCATCTCATTGGCCGCTTGAAATCAACGAAACCATGCCATCAACTGTGACCCTTCTGGAGCAGGTCAGGTTCAACAGGGTTCCGAAAAAGGTTCCGGAGAAGGTTCCGGGAGGCTTTGGTGCAGAGCCAGGTCAGGTTCAACAGGGTTCCGAAAAAGGTTCCCGAGAAGGTTCCGGGAGGCTTTGGTGCAGAGCCAGGTCAGGTTCAACAGGGTTCCGAAAAAGGTTCCGGAGAAGGTTCCGGGAGGCTTTGGTGCAGAGCCAGGTCAGGTTCAACAGGGTTCCGAAAAAGGTTCCGGAGAAGGTTCCGGGAGGCTTTGGTGCAGAGCCAGGTCAGGTTCAACAGGGTTCCGAAAAAGGTTCCCGAGAAGGTTCCGGGAGGCTTTGGTGCAGAGCCAGGTCAGGTTCAACAGGGTTCCGAAAAAGGTTCCCGAGAAGGTTCCGGGAGGCTTTGGTGCAGAGCCAGGTCAGGTTCAACAGGTTTCCGAAGTCGCTAGCAAGCAAGTTTGAAATCCACTGAGACCAAGCACTACAGTTAAACAATTTAATTCTGCAATATATCATCGCTGTTGGGTTGCAAAGCTGGGCTAATCAATCGAAGGGTTCCAAAAAAAAAGATCACCTCATCACCCCATCACCCCAAATCCCGAAGTGCCAGAAAGATCCAGAAAGGACCTCCCCAAAAAGAAAAATGGATCCACTGCATCTCCTTCAGCGCCATCAGCGATTTGTTGATCTCTGCAAAGTCCCGGTGCTGCTGCGCCGTCATGGACCGCGTCTCGTAGTTCCGCTCGCTGCCGGCCAGGTCCACGAAGCGCAGCGTCGTTCTTCCGCCGTCCAATGCCAGGACGCAGACGGCCTCGGAGACCGCCGTCTCGGGGGTAAACATGTGGGGGTAAACATGTTGCGGCAACCCCTCAAGAAACGGATAAATTACATGTCATTGCATACCTTTTTGGGATTTCCTATGTCGAAAAGCTCATAAGATGAACATTCCTGATAAAACACTGGTGATAAAATCTGGGTTTCATCTCCCATCCCAACCATTCGGACAAGTCTACCCAAAAATACAATTGTTCTTTCCTATAAACCATTGACAACAAACCGTAGTAAGTACGGTATAGTACGGTCACTAAATATTCCACCTCAATTTGCATCATTTAGCTATGGATCAATACCTATACATACCATTTTTAGGGGATGAACATCCATAAATCCCAGCTATTTTGATGTGAACTACAGGGGTTTTATGGCTATGACACACTGCCATTTGTCACACCCAAGGCGCATGACTTCGGGAGCTCAGCGGGTTCCGCTCCGTGGCTTCGGAGCGCCGCAAGCGCAGCGCTTCTTCCAGCAGCGACGGCAGCGCAGCGGCGTCCGCGGAGAGCGTCAAGGCGCCCCTCGCGGCGTGGAGGGCCGGGTTGGGGGCCCTGAGTTATGGGCCAAAAACGGTGGTGTTTACCAATTTAAAAAGGAAAATGTTACGAGAATTTCTTGCCGTTAAAGATTGGTGATGATTTTTTAACTGGGTAGCCACTTGGAGGATCACCCCATTTAGTAGCCGATTAGCAACTGGGATTATAAGCTGGTTATCAATGGGATAACACGGGAACCAGGGACTTAATCATCAGAGTTTTTGAACATACATCCTATATAAGTGCGATGATCCGCAAGCGACAGCCACAGCCATGATGGGCCACTCAAATTGGGTGAATTCGGGGGCTGCTTGTCAACCAAGAGTCGTTGGATACATGCATGTTGGGAAATTCCAAAAAGCATCAATCGTGAGCCCCTACGTAATGACATTGTCAACCAAGAGTTTGTAGACATAAGAGCCTTGGGCAATTTTCAATAATTGCGAATACAGTTTGCAGACATGTTGCTTGATTTCGGGGGTAGCAAGATCCTTTCAACGGATACATGCTGCTTAGTTTTGAGGGTTTGTACACCGACGAATTTTTCATGTGTTGCGTAACCCCAACAATTTCCTAACTAAGGATCTCGACTCTGTGAGGGTCATTCAAGAAGTTTCGGACCAGATGGTTTGACAGTCCAAACTCGGTGCTTTCTGATATCAAAAATGGAAAGGGAGTTGACTCAGAAGAATGGTGGGATGCGTGCAATGCGGGTTCTTCCCATTCGCAAATGGGGCTGCAACCAATCCCACTGCATTGTAACGCCATTCAGCTCCATTCATATCTGGCAGGGGCCCGACATTGTATTTCAAACAAAGCCACAATCCAACGATCCCCCCCAAAGTCATTGCAGTACACTGGCTTTTTTGGAACGGAATTCTCATCATGGACGATGATCATCCGCAATATATAAAGGATACAGTACAACCTGGTACAACCCCCAGAAAGCATCAACCAACTACTCCTTCCGTCGTGCCTGACGTGCACGCGTTCCTCGGCATCCGATCTCAGCGTCACCTCCTTCCTCTGCTGCAGCAAATCGTAACCTCAGGCACTGCAGGCCCACAGGGATTCAACGCCCTAGACCCGACCTACCATTGACAAATAGCCACGATGAACATCAACAAACTATAACTACAATATACTTCCCATTCCGGTGATGATCATCAAACTATCCGGTTTGAGACAAGAAAAAGAAGACGAAGTTTTCCCGGCTTACCAACAGCAGCGTCATCTTTTTCGCAGGATTGTCTGATGATAGAATTCACCACAACCTGAGCACTCATCAGCCACCACTTAATGGAGTGAAACTGAACTAAGCCAACGAACATACCCTCCAATCAAAGATGCCAATGGCAAATCCTCCTTTAGAGCAAGTGCTGCCACAGAAGCATTTCTTTCCATGGATCTCGAAGAAGGTCACTGCAATGCTCCGCCCGGCCAGGTCAGCCCCAAGGCGTTTCCAGCAGGCATTGAACGTGTGCGTCTTGCCGGTGCCCGTCTGGCCATAGCAGATGATGGTGGCGGCCTCCGGGACGGGAACCGGGACGGGAACCAAAAACGGGAAATGGGGGAAGAGGATCTTCTGGAAATCACATGTCTTTTAGGGGTTTCGAGGTTCATGTGAAATGGGGGTGGCAGCACTGTTTGGGGAGTTGCAATTTTTTCGTTTACCTGGCCCTGAAATTTGGAGTTGATTTAGACGATTCACCTCACGGGCAAAAATACCCCCGCTGTCAAATTGTATATATATATACAATATACAGTATATCCGTGATAGTTTTTCTTCAAGCTTAGCAATGCAGGCCCCCGAGAACTTCTCAGCCTCCTCTTCCTTCAGGGAAGTCACCAGAGGCTTCACCTCAATTTTGAGCAAACCTCTTGAAATGGTACAAATGATTTTCACCTATCTATAGATACTTTCAAACATTTTCAAACAATGATCGTTTTATAAATCAGAAAATGCCTGAACGACGACCCCTGCAAGCCACGGTGTGCGTTTTCCCAGGCTAGCTTGAATTCATGTGCTTACAGTTGCCAGATTGATCATTGGACCCATGCTGGATGCCCTTTAATAAAGCCCCTGTCAACACAGGAAGATGCTGGGGCTTAGCCTCCAAAAGCCAATGGAGGACCAGGAAAATCCCAGGAAAATCCGTCCCAGTCACCGCGTCTTCGTAGAACTCACTGTCCGAGACTGAGGAGTCGTAGGCCTGATCCTGAGGGCTTGAGGGACAAAAAAACCCTCTTTTTGCCAACTTTTTCAGGCACATCTTAACCCCAAAAAAAATAGAAATGTGATATACAATCATCTCTACTGGATTGTTTTTTTACAAATTTCGATCGTTTTGGTGGTTACTATACGCCATTTAAGCACCTTTGTTTTGGAAGCAATAAATGGATTTTTGCTGGAGGGTTCAATCCGCTGGGGTTTCCGCGATTGCAAAAGGTTGACCATATTTACAACCCATTATCAACCAATGTTATGTGGGCTTGCCGGTAAATCCAGCTATGTAAGGGGTACACCTCATGTTCAAACGCACCCGTATCATATTGTTGGCTATCTCCTATTTTGTCGCCATCATCCACCAAGTTATTACTTTGTTTTTCACCGGTTTTAGTCGAGGTTGCTTTCATCAACTTTAGCCAATGGCAATATCAACATATATCAACCACCGAAACAGTATAGTTGCCTATAGTTGCCTATATCTTCCATCAAAATCATCAAAAATCCCCATGATAGTTGCTCAGCATCCCCAAGACCCACGGTTTCACCAGCTTCATCCCAGATCCCAGCGTCCAACACGAACTTCTTGTGCAACATCTCGAGGCGCCTTCCGGTGCGGTGTAGCCGCCCGTCGTGGCAGACCACCCGAGCACAGCTCCTGGAAGACAGCGAACCAGGTTTGGGGGCTGATGTGAAACTTTTTACCATGCAAAATTTTGAAAAGTTGGAAAAGTTGGATTTTAATCATCAAAAAATAATGTAAGTACATGGGATAGTGGCAAGCCATCTAGTGTTCCTGCTCGATCTACCAAGCGTAAGACTAGACTACCAGGTACGGCAGCTTCACCAAAAAAATGGGTCACAAGCTTAGACCTAGAAAACCTTCACTTACGATTTGAAAACCATCTCAAGACGGTGAATGCTCAAACAGAGGGATCATCCGAGGATCCCGAAAATCAACCAGGACATCCAGAGGCCCACTATGTAGGAAAATGATGGAAATTTGACAACGTACCCCACGCCTGAGGTGGAGCCATGTGAAAAACTGCGTCTGAAATTTCTTGGAAAATCTCCGTCCATGTGGACGGAAACCAGAATCCCCTGGCCCAAAACCTCCAAAAATCCCCTGGCAAACTTTGCTCCTGGACACTGTGACGCAGTCCCAGTCCCCGGCGGCGACTTCGAAGGGCAGCAGAGGTCGCTTTCTGGCCATAAACCTTGGCACATTGTCACATGGCAGCAGAAGTGACATAATAGGTGCATTTGAAGTTGGGATGAGTGGATGCTTTAGGTAGGAAACCTCCTCAGGACTGGAATCATACGATCCAAAGCAATCACTTCGAAAGTTTCGAGGCATTCTGGCGCTTGCAAGTGCACATCCGGAGCACATCAAATGTAAATGCGACTTCCCTACTCATCGACCTACTTTTTGCATCACAACCACCCGAAGTCGTGTGGGATCATCTGCACACTACCTCCCCCAAAAAATACACACACCTTCGTCTGGATCACAGTCCTCTTCCAAGAGTTGTTGCCCTTCCAACCACACCCAGGTTTTCGCTGCACCCCACCTGATACCCGGTCGGTCGCTGGCGGCCGCCACCGGCTTTGGCGCCCGCCGCCAATTGGCCAGAAATCCCACAGCCGGACCCTGGGAGAATCCGAAATCCGCGATGCGTTCCAAGATGCTCAAGTCCAAGTCCTAAAGCCGCAAGATGTTTGCCATCTGGGCAGGGCTTATAAACCGGTAACAATCAAGGTCCATTGTTGGTTTCCCCTAAGAATCAACCAGATCTAGGTTGGGTTTGTCAAAGAGCTTGGTTTTGAGGTTTCCCAAAACATGAAGGGTATAGGCCATTTCTCGCAATCATGTCATGGGAAAAGTATCATCATCCTTTACAGTTTTTTAACAGGGATATCATCAGAAAAATGGATTGAAGACAGCACAAAAGTGGAGCCAACTGCCCACTGAAACTTTTTCGATTTTTGGAAAATCTGTTTGGTGGTCAGCCATTGCCAGTTAAACGTTAATGGGTGTTTGTATTAGCCATCGGGGGGGCTAACTCCCATGTTGATTCTCAGCCAATCACACGGAAATCATCCCATCTCTAAACACACACAGCTTGGCTCCGTTCTTACGGCAGGCCAGGCACCTTCAAACACGAGGACTGCGACGTGAAATGCGCATCCAGAAGCATCTTCACTCCTTGGCCAGGACAACTTGGAGCTAACCCTAGGCAGTTGTGGATTTAAGGCTGGGAACACATTGGGTTTATATTTAATTTTCCGGTAAACAATACCCTTTCAAGATGAGAACTTTGCTGGTCAATGTCGAAGCAGGCCAGTTGGAAAATCCGGTTCAATCCAGGTACAAGGACTACATTGATTACATTTGTGGTGTTAATCATAAGATACGTATTGGAAAGGTGAAGGATATTCTGCAGAGATTCTCCTCTCCAATATCTTCCCACAAAATCTAGTTTTGAAAGTTGGCAACCTGGAAAACGATGATGATTGCTAACTCAAAACGATAGTCTGACGGCTTTACCTGGCAGAATTGAGAAGGCAAGAGTAAACAGCAATTGAAGTGCTCGAAACAAACAGAACAAAATAACCAAACCAAACTCAACCAACCCAACCAAATCAACGCAAAAAGAAAGGAAAAAACGTGTTGATCTTGTCGTAATTTCCCAACAAAGAAATGTTGCTGAGAGCAGTGCCTTGCGCCCCTGTCTTGAGTACCGGGGCTCGATACAAATCTCCCTGTGCTTGTCGAAGCCGGTCCCGGTGCTTCAGGTACCTCAAGCAGTTGGATCGTCAAACCCTCCATGTTTCGTCGGTCACTTTTTCTGCACCAGGTATCCATGAGAACAAAATTCTAGGGGTTGTATATCGGATGTATAATATATATATATGATATATATATATATGTGTGTGTGTACACATGTATGTGCATATGCATCTGAATGTTTACACACACAGGGAGAGCAAGTATAGTTCTACATCTTGGCCAAAGGACATAGATCCATTTGATTCAAGTGATACAAGTAGTGGAGCCCCTCTCCTCCAAATATTGATCACAGTATATATATAAGTACGTAAGTGTACTAGATCATGCCCACAGTCCGGCAAAAAAAAAATCTTCATCTGTGGAAGTGTCCCATTTACAGTTGAATAACTTAACAACCCATTTGGGGTATATTGATGGTAAATGTTACCATACATGGCAGCACCATGGATCCTATGGGATATATACCAGCACCATGGACAACAATAACCAGGTCAGTTCCATCCAACTTTTTCGTTGACGCTGACTCCCGCGGAGCGGCGCACGCTTCTCTCAACGACCAATGCTGCCGTCCGTCGTAGTCCCCAGCCCACTTTGCCTCTTGCTCCGCTCGCCCCTGGCGTCCACTCGGCAGGTGGGGCTTCCTTCGGACCCTCAAATTTTCAAAGCAAATCACTTCTGGGACAGCAGGATTGCGCTGGGTTAATCCCTGAAGTTGGGACCTGCGTGTGTTGTATTTTCTACATGTTGCGTCTTTTTTGGGGTTCAAATGTCCCAAAACAAAGCCCCACACTTCGTACCACAGACCGAGATCTTTTTGAGAATGTAACTTGGCCTCCCTGAGTCTGTACAAATGAAAGGATTCAAATGGCCAAAATCAGCGCATCCCCAGGCACTGGGCAGCATTTTGGGGTCTCAAATGGAGTCGTTCGGGATTCAGCGGAAGTGTAAACGAATTCTGCCTTCTAAAAAATGATTCTGTTTTGAAGAAGTGATGGTATGAAAAGAAGATCCTCCAATATTTTGAGACACGCCTTGAACTACCACAGTGATCTGTTCCATGCGGGCTGATGCACTGATGCAACGGGGTTTTGTTGGGAACCTTGGAGACAAACTGGAGCCTCATGGCAAAACGTTCCTTGACCTGCACACTTTGTTCAAGTGACTCAGGCAAACTGAAGCGGATGAATTGTTAGTTTCAACTCATCGCTCTCAGAGAACGAATTGGCGACCAGCGCCTATCACCGACTTGCTGATGCTGTCTGGTCATTTCTGAGATTGAAACAGTCACATGAAAACATCAGGAACCTGTCAAAAATGCCTGAAGGGTGTCTACTTCTTCAACTTCAAGTCCTCCAATTCCTTCTTCAGCGCTGCGATCTCCTGCTTCTGCTCATCAATCTTCCGTTCATCCTGCGCTTGCTGGTTCTGAAGCATCTGATCATTCACAGACGGCCCCACTGGGCCCAAGGGCACAGGCACCCCCAACCCAAAGCCACCATAGCCAAAAGGGCTGAACGGACTCAGAGGTGCATAGCCGAATGGCGAAATCATCGGTGCTCCAATCCTTGATGGTTTGTTGGCCTCCTCACTTTCAGGACTATCCATCCCCAAAAAAAGAATAAAATCAGACCTGTGTCGCTATGCCACCCAGCATCCCAATAGAGATGCGTGGTCCCGCACTTCCCCTGGCGGTGCCACCACCCCTAGGCACAGCCGCCCGGGGCGGCGGTCGGGCAGCAAAGCCGCGGCTGGAGCCGCCCATGCGGCCGCCGGAGCGCGCCGCCTCCGCAGCGTCCATCGGAAGCAGCGCCAGCAGTAGCGCCAGGGCGGCAGCTGCGGAGGCGCGAAGACCCCAGGAGGTGCCCTGATATTGGAGAGTTGACCGGGTTGGAGGGTGGCAGGATTTGAGAATAGTTTTTGAGATGATTGGGGGGGTGATGGTCGGGAAGGATCTCATTAAAAATCTGAAGCCAGGTTGCAAAGCCCAGTTTGACCATCCAAAAAATTGCAGCCCCCCTTTGATCCTTCATTTTGGCCCCACACCTGGTTTTGAACCTCCGCCTTGGCGACGGGCTGCTCGCTCCACCCACTGAATCTATCTCTGCCATCCTTCCGGTCCTTGCCCTTGGGCAATTGTCGGGCAGCAGGCGCAGATCCCGGCAGACCTGGCACAAAGCATGTGACCAGGGCAGCCAGCGCGCCAAGGACCAGAGCAAGACCAACGATGCGTGCCATGGTTTTGAAGGAGAGATGAACTACGGCGGTCAGGAACAAAAATGGCTGCACATGAGGGGCGTGACCGCGTGGTTCTCACAGTTGTTTCTCAAAGTCGTGGGTTCGCATCAACCGTTCTGAAATTTTGTCAGTATATGAACTGTTTCGATCAAAATCACAATCAGATTATGTCATCTGGGATTAACATAGTTTCGTCGTTTTGACATGGCCATCAACTGAGGTTTCCTCCGGTTTCAATTCAACCATAACAAACACACGTTTGATCCCGCCCGGCCATGGGCCCCATGGGCCTCGATGTTTCGAGGAGCATCCACGATGTGAGACTCGAATTCGGCTGCGTCATCCGGAATCTCACTGGGACCTCAAGATGCAGCCACTCAGCGTTGAGAAGATTCCTGGATCCAACAATGTTTGTGTTTTGATAAGGTCAACCGGGTAAACCGAACAGTAAACATTCCCATTTGGTGGGAATGTAACTGGTATACCCATAGCGATGAAGAATTTTCGGCCCAACTGGTTGATTACTGGGCTGGTTTGGCTGATCCCAAGCCATGATGGGAGACTTCACCGAGTCACAAGCCATGGCGCCATGGCGCTGTCCAACAAACCCACCTTGAGCCTTTGACGCGAGCCTGGAGCCTGGTTCCCACTCCAGGATTTTTTGCCATCGGTTGGGTGATGTCCAACAATCAAAACACTGGTATGTTTACAATTAGATGCCCATGTGAAGAAATGACAACTCGTGTCTTTATTGAAATAGTAATTGACGACTGGTGATAGAAAATGCACATGCATACGTATATATGTTTTAACTTATCTATTGTGTAAATGATGTCTATGTATATATATATGTGTGTGTTTATTTATTTGTGTATTTATTTAAATTTCACAATGGATGAATTTATGACTTGTTATGAACTGATTCTGATTGTATTGTTTTCCAAGATTGAAGCCCCTGCCTTTGCTTTGGCCCAACCATTCAATCGTCAAAGAACAATCTCGTAGCGTCCACAACCCATATTCATTTCTGAGCCCCCTCCAAAAAAGTAAAAGAAATACCTGAAACTGATTATGGTTTTGAAAATCATCCGGCCACCAAAAAAAAACTGTTCACTAATCACCTTATTTCCTGGTTGGTTTAGACCTCCTTGGTTTCCACATTGCAAAAAAATGTCACTTTCTGAGTGCGAGACAGTTTCCACCACTGTCCTCAGTGGCGGCTATGTGTCTGTGTCTGTGTATGTGCATGTGCATATGCATTATGTATATGTGTATGTGTATGCATATGTATATGCATATGCAAATGTCTATTTAGATGTATATGTGTATGTACACGTATATGTATAAACAAATGTATATGTGTATGCGTATATGTAAATGTATATGTCAGAGTATATGTCAGAGTATATGTATATGCGTATGTATATGCGTATGTATACGCATACACATACGCATACGCATACGCGCACGTGTGCGTGTACGTGCATTGTACGTGTACGTGTACGTTCAAGTATATCTATATCTATATGTATATGTATATGTAATATGTCTATGTATATGTAAATGCATATGTCTATGCATATGTGGATGCATATGTATATGAATATGTATGCTTATGTAACCTACATACATATTTAACCATAGTTAGTTAATGATTTCTTTTGTATGTATGTATGCATGCATGCATGCATGCATGCATGCATCTATCTATCTAATCTATCTATCTATCTATCTATCTATCTATGTAAATCTATGTAAATCTATGTAAATCTATGTAAATCTATGTAAATCTATGTAAATCTATCTAAATCTATCTAAATCTATGTAAATCTATGTAAATCTCTATGTAAATCTATGTAAATCTATGTAAATCTATGTAAATCTATGTAAATCTATGTAAATCTATGTAAATCTATGTAAATCTATGTAAATCTATGTAAATCTATGTAAATCTATGTAAATCTATCTAAATCTATGTAAATCTATGTAAATCTATGTAAATCTATGTAAATCTATGTAAATCTATGTAAATCTATGTAAATCTATGTAAATCTATGTAAATCTATGTAAATCTATGTAAATCTATGTAAATCTATGTAAATCTATGTAAATCTATGTAAATCTACGTAAATCTATGTAAATCTGCGTAAATCTATGTAAATCTATGTAAATCTATGTAAATCTATGTATCTATGCATCTATGTATCTATGCATCTATGCATCTATGTAGCTATGTATCTATGTATCTATGTATCTATGTAACTATGTATCTATCTATCTATCTATCTATCCATCTACCTACCTACCTACCTATCTATCAATCTATGTATCTATGTATCTATGTATCTATGTATCTATGTGTCTATGTATCTATGTATCTATGTATCAATGTATCTATGTAAATATGCATCTATGCATCTATGTATCTATGTATCTATGTATCTTTGTGTCTTTGTATCTATGTGTCTATGTGTCTATGTATCTATCTATCTATCTGTCTGTCTATCTACCTATGTATCTATGCATCTATCTTTGTATCTATGTATCTATGTATCTATGTATCTATGTATCTATGTATCCATGTATGTATGCATGAATGCATGCATGCATGCATGGATGTATGTATGTACGTGTGTGTGTGTGTATGTGTGTATGTGTTTATGTGCGTATGTGTGTGTGTGTCTATGTGAATGTGTGTATGTGTGTATGTGTGTGTGTGAATGTGTGAATGTGGGTATGTGTGGGTGTGTGAATGTGTGAATGTACGAATGTGTGAATGTGTGAATGTACGAATGTATGAAGGTATAAAAGTATGAACGTATGAACGTATGAATGTATGAATGTATGTGTGTATGTGTGTATGTGTGTGTGTTCCGATACAACCAAAAAGAACATTTCAAGACGATCATAGTGGCACAACTATAGTTGAAGAGCCAAGGCCCATTTCAGTCAAAAGCTCTACACACTTCATCACGCTTCCGCACATGACCACCGGGATGAGATTTAGGATTGTCATGATGGTGGAAAATGAAAAATACGCTGATAAATGAAATATATGATCCATCAAACGGATATTTTAATGCAGATAGTTCAACGCAAACGCATGCACACATTCTTGGGCACTTTGTGGGAACTCAGCGTCAATGTGAATGCAATGAAATCAGATTGCACACACCGACAAAAGGACCACAACTCTGAAGATACATTGCCGCACCAGATTATCTTTGAAACTTTGGTCTGCATGATTACGCACTTCCATGTGGAAACTTACAACTCTTGCCCTTTTGCCCCTTGAGTTTTGGGCTGCCGTTCCGGCACAGCATCCTGTGGCGTCACCTGGATACTAGGGAGTGCCAACTATGATTCCTCCCATGCACTCAACGCAGTGGCTGAATGCAAACTTCCCGTTGCCCCACATGGATTTGAACTTGAACTTCACCACTTCATGGCAACACAACTGCAACACCGTGTAAGGAAAGATGCTGGAGTCCTGGAGATTTCCTGCGTTGCCTCCAATCACATTATCCTAACCACTAACCCTGTTCCTTCCGCATTCTGGCCTTTGCGGCTGGCAGCACATCTGTTGAAGGCGACTGCACTTCAATTTTGCTGATTAGGGGGGCTTTGCGCGGCTCCAACAGATCCTGCGATTGGCGTGTTGCAGCACTGAAATCCTTGAATTTGTTTTACCCAACCCTACCTTCAGACATACTCGTGCCGGGCAAAATGGACGCAGCTGTGCCCACGTTTTTTTGACAAACTGGTCAATACATGTCGCCATGGTCTTGTCGCATTGGCATGCCAAGACCACAGCACCAGCTCCTGCAAGCCGATTTGTGCCTTCGGACCGCCCCAATCATCTTCGTCACTACTATCGCTCATGGCCAACGACAACACAATCTGATGTCAGGAATTGAAATTTTGCTGCTTCATGTCAAGGCCCTCCCTGCTGATTCAAATATCAGTCCCTGTGTAAAAATGTTCTCAGCATTTGTGCGCTTCGTGCTGCTGATATTTTTTGTATGGCTGGCAATTTTTGGCCAAAATGCTGCGAAAGCGGGAGAAGTCAATTCGCGGAACACTTTGTTATGGAGAAAAGAAATTGAAAAAATGTAAAAAGTTGATGAAATAACAAATTGATGAAATATAATTGGTCCGAGTCCTGCTTGCCGTTCTGCACATCCTCGGCGCAACGCGCGCGGTGGTCCATGGGACAACGATACCAGAATGTAACTCCAAGTAGCCGCCGCCCATGTACCCAACAGTGTCCAATGTATCAAGAATTGCCACCGCGAGTTCCAAATTCACTCCGATCACCCGAGCAAGCTATGCCGATAAACCTGTACGCAATTTATTGCCGCAACAAACGGATTGATGCAAACATTCGGGGATGGAACAAAAAAATCTGGTATGTGTCTCACGGCATATGTTCATGCCCGCAAAGCTGCGGGTTTCACATTTCAAATCATGCCAGGTCCTGGTCACTTAAATTACACGGAATTCAGATGCAATAGATTTTTTCGGTGACGTTTTTGTTCGTCTTGGATTTGTTTTTTTTGATTTGTGGTTCCCTTTTTTTGTTTTGTTTTGTCCTCCTTCTTTGCTTCTCCGTTTTTTCTTTTTGTGTTGCCTGCTTCTCTCCTCCTCTGCTTCTGTGTTTTCTGGTTTCCCCTCCTTTTTTGTTTACTTGTCTTTTCTATTTCTCTGCGTGGTTATTTGTTTGTTCCTTCGTTTTTCCCTTTTTTCCCTCACATTGCAAACAAGCCTCACGAAACATCATTTAAATAAACACAAAATCATCCCCAAATCAACTAGGCAAACCCCAATTTAAAAAAAAAACTAAATAAACTCTAAGCCGATTCTAGGTATATTCCAAACCAACCTCACTTATTTATTTCAAACACACCTGGAAAAACCTTACCCAAACCGAAATATTTTCAACCAACGTTACATAAATCCTACCCCAGGGCTAAACAAATCTAAACCAACCCTGTATAGGCCCTACAAAGATTGAGACTGAAACCTTATGCACATGTGTGGGACGAGATCAAGGACAGATTGTACGAAGCACAAAGGATTGTAGCCTGGCCTGCCCATGCTCTGGTCTTGCCTCGCCCCAGCAAACTAGCAGGCACGCTTTGCAAACCTCTCACGCGGATCTGCCAGGTCTTCATCCTCTTGGCGCCACGGATGTGGGGAATAAACTGGATTCTGCCAGTGTTCATCCTTCACTGGCAGTCAAATCGCCTCCTGCAAAAAACGCAATGCGCGCCCGAGGGCCGTGTCCGATAAACAGCTTACATTCACGCAAAATTCTGTCCTTGATCTCGTCCCACACATGTGCATAAGCTTGCACTCTCAATCCTTGTAAGGCCTATACAGGGTCGGCTTAGATATGTTTAGTGCTGGGGTAGGGAAGCCACGCTACAATCCTTTGTACGAAGCACGGGTTCGTTTGGATGCAAATGCATTGTTGTGCGTGGACAACGAACCCCGAAGTGAATGGGACACTCTGAACCTTTTTGTTTCCAGTTTGAATAAAAGAGGTTCCCCGTCAGATCTAGCAGCATCCGTTCGACTTCA